CGATTAATCGAGTCTGCCAGAGCACGAAAATCAAAGCGCTTCGGCAGCCTTGCACGTCACGTGTATCAGCATCAGCACACGTGTCAGCACTGAGAAAATGGTGGTGGCACACTTTGAAATAAAACATGTCTGATGAGCTTTCGTTCAAAGTGCTCCACCACCATATTTTCAGTGTGGGGATGCATGGTGACACGGATATAGATGACACATGGGCGCTTTGAATTAGCGTGGCTCGCTAATTAAAGTTCCCGGCACTTCGCTGGGAACACGTGTAAACATGCCTTGCTGTGGCACTTGTAGTGCTGCAAATGTATTTTTAAGTGCTACAAAAATGTAGTCCTACAGGCATGCAAAAGTCCCCAGCTGGATCACTGCAGAGTGGCTGCAAAGGCATGTAGAGGTGTGTTTTCCAGCCAGGGAGCATGCAAGGGGGTTAGTTGTCCTTGCAGCTCTGCTCCCATCCACCTGCCACGGGAGAGGAGCCCACTGGTGGGTCCACTTACTGCTCACTGGCATCCTGATACCTCCCAGTGCCCGGCCCCTGGGGCTTCCACCCACTGTCTCTCCCCGTGTTTGTAGGCATTACACAAGTAACGTCTCTCCATGGCCACAGTTAACTCCTGAGCTGTGGCACAAAGCACTTGGGTTTCATACCCACTTACAACCCTTAATGCTGGTGGTTACGTGTGGCTTAGTAAGGTTAAAGTGGAAAGGTTGGGCAAATATTTGTCACTGAGAACATATAAATCTTCCGTGTGTATAATTTTCAAATGAAACACCATGTCGATCGTCTGGGTTTAATCGGCCTCTTCTACAAAGCCTGCAGAGCGTGGTTTGGCTCAGGCTGAATTTTCTGGGAGGTATGTCTCCTTAGGGCACCGGGCAGCAGCTGAACTAATGCGGCTGCTTCGTGGCCTTGAGGTTGCACAAGCTTCTGTCAGTGGCTTTCTTCTCTCGATGTGGGGCAGAGTTAAGTGGATCAGGGGAGACAGGCTGATCGCAGGTCCCATCCCTATCTCATGAACAAAAACTCACTGCACAGGGCTTCACATGGTGCTCGGGGATTCACATCCCCATCAAAGACTCCCCACACTGCGCAGCTGAACCTCACCAGTCTGTTGAGTCTGCAGAGGAAGCGGCAGCAATTCCTCTTTGGGATCAAACCTTAAATGCTGCATAAACACCCAGCACGTCTACAAAGATGCAGTATCCTCTGCTTGGCCCTAAATGCTTGGTCATCTCCAGCCACTCAATCAGATGGTGTAGACTTAGAGGAAAACATTTCCCCTCCTTCATGTTCAGACTCCTGAATTAAGCAGCCGGATAGGCGATGGATTGAAGATACAACTAGGAATGTGCGCTGATTTATTCTGGCACTAGGTCTAAGCATCCATTCTGTTCAAAATCTGTTCTGGCCGCCTCTCTACCCCTAACACATGCACACTTTCAGGTAACATGGAAACGGCCTAATTTGCAAAGACTTTTCACTTGAGAAAAAATCACCAGCATTTTGTTCTCAGTTTCATTTTTTCAACCACCCTTGTTTAACCCCAGGTTTCTTTGTTAAGAAGCATTGTCTGAGGGATGCTGCACCTAGGACTTCAGCCGCAGAGAAGTGAGCTCAGTTTCTAGTGGCTGATGGCCATCTCTGCTTACAGAGTCCATCATCATCACAGCCTTTTTGTTTTGCCCTATAGCTATTCTCAGCGAGCTGTTGCAGAGAGAGAACCGGGTTCTTCATTTCTGGACCTTGAAGAAACGGAGATTAGATCAGTGCCAACAATATGTGGTCTTTGAGCGCAGTGCCAAGCAGGTAGTGTAATAATCCCATCCCATCTGTCTCCTTGGTTTTTAAAAAAATATCACTATTCTTTCCACATCACTCATTTATGCTGGGTACCTATTGCATCCCTTGAGCCCTGTGTGCAGTCTGTTACTGGCAATTGGCAAATGGAAATGGAGAGGGGAAAAGCACATTTTGGAGGTAGTTTTTATGAATGCAGATCTTCTGTCTGTTTTGCTCGGGTGCTCAAAAACAAGCCAAACGACAAATTAAAATCTCAGACATAGCTCTGCCTCGTGCAATACAATGCAGCGTTTGGAGGAAGGGCTCTTGCTACACACACAAGTGATCTATAAAGTGATAGATGTTGCACATCATCGAGTGGTCTTCAGAGAAACTGGCAGAGTCCAGGGGAGTGTTATGTGAATGTAGCTCAAAGTTTGATTAGTTCAAAGTTGGAAGCTCAAAGCTGGAAGTTTTGCTTAATTAAAGACAGCAGAATTTGGCTGCCTGGGTGTGGAAGAGTGCAGTATTATGGGAAAAGTAACTAACAGAAAGACATATGTCCTTACTGCAACTTCTGCACGTTCTTTCAGGTTTGGGCCAAATCTAGCAGTGATTTATAAAGTGATGTGAGTCATGTGTTGGTAAATGGATACAAATAGGTATTAGAGAGTCTAGTAAGAGTACAGGAAAGTTAAGGTTATCCACAATCTGGCCCTTGTATGATAAATCTTGGCAGTGAAAAGTGCTGATGCTTGGGTTGGCAACGGAACCGTTCCAGCTCAGAAGTGTTATAGGTAGGCTGTGTGTAGATGAAACGAGAGGTGCATGTGCATGACACTTTAAAACGGGCTAAATGCTTTTGTACCGCTTTAATGGTGTCAGTGTTTGCATGCCTCGGCAGCGTATTGCTCATTAATTCCAGCCACTGTAGGAAATTCAGTGGCGTAATGCACCTTATATGAGTTGGAGCACAGCAAACTAAAACTCCTTCCAGGAGTTTTATTCATGCAAACTCCTTCCAGGAGTTTTAGCTTGCTGCCCCTGCAGGCGCGGAGCGAAGTGCCAGGCTCTGTGCAGCTCCGCGGCTCTGCAGGCAGCCTGGCAGCAGCCCAGGAAGGCGGGCTCCACCCAAGAAGAGCGGCAAGCCTGATCTTATTTTTTTTCCCCCTGGAGCCTGTCTGCCTGAGCTGTGCAGGGACCCAGTGCTTCCCTCCATGGCTCTGGGTGTCTGCAGGCAGGTGACGCCTGGGGGGCACTGCTACTGCCACGGAGGGAAGCCCCAGCCCCCCCCCCCCCCGCAGCCCGGGGACTGCCCCGCCCGCCGGCAGCTCGCCCTCCCCTTCCCACCAGAGAGGCAGGTAAGTTAGCAGGATGTGTGCACAACACAGGGGTTTAATCAGCCCTAAATTGAAGCTATGTTTTTTAAAACCCACCGCTTCAATTTAAGGCCCCCATTTCATCTACACACTCCCCTACTGTCTGTCTGTGACACTAAGCTCCACAATGTGTACATTGTGGGGGGGGGGTTGTTAATGTCTTTCTCCTCATCTCCCCCCTCCATGAGGTTGGGAAGTGCATTTATTCCCATTTCACAGGTGGGGAACTGAGGCACAGACAAACTATGTGAATTAGCTAAGGTGAGGCAAGAATTTTTTTGAGTAATAAAGAAGTGAATCCGGGCCTGCAAGTCCATGGCTAGAGTGCCAACCATGGGTCGCTCTCCTCCTCCCCACCACCTCTGCACGGGAGGAGATGACTTGAGAAGGACCAAGGCAAGGGGAAATCAAACCTTAGATTATTAAAGCCTGCATGTCAGGAAAAGGACCAGATCCTAAAGAGTGAGAGTGTTGGTATAACACCCACTCTTCTGTCACTTAGTTTTATTAATACAAATCCTTGTGCTGGCCCTAGTCTGTTTGCACTGATCCATCCTACCAGTGCAGGTCAGCTGGAAACCTAGTGAAACCCCCAGCTGAAAACCCAAGGAACCCTTACCCTGTTATTGGGAAAAGGCTGGGGGACAAGCAGAGCCTGCGAGGGCCCTTTAGGAGTAGAGTCTTTGTGACTCAAGGGGAAGGGAATACAGACAAGAACAGCACGGGAAGAGGAGACGGGGTTTTAGTAGTCCCCAGCAGCCCTGGTACAAGTGCTCTGAAACCCAGCAGGATGGAACAGACCAATGAGAGGTCACTGAGCTTATGCTACGTGATAGGCCAGACTGGCCAGAAGGGGAGGGACTTACCAGTATAAGAGACTCGCCCTTAGGCCAGCAGGCTCTCTCTAGCTTTGGCTGGGGAAGAACCTGGACCTACGAGTTATGGAGCCTGGAGTGGCAATAAGGGAAGCCCTGGCATGCGGGCAGAGAAGCCTTCTTGTTGTTTTATGTTTGCCCAGGATGGGGATGAGTTTGAGTTCGGCTTATTCTTTATCACATGAGTATCTGGATGGGCAGTGTCCTTTGTTTTGCAACAGTAAAGATAGGATCTACCAAAGGACCAGGTGATGGCTGTAGGGCTGGTTAGGAGGCTACACAGGGGCACTGAAGAGGCACTCCAGGTTTGCCCTTCTAGGGGCAGGGCGCTATAGACAGCGAGAGAGTGGAAGAGAGGGAGACGGGACTGGCCGCAACTGCGGGGGTTAGAACCTGAGCCCCGAGAAAGAAAAAGGAGGGAGCCAAGAGGCTGAATCAGAGCAAATGAGCCCAGGCGTATAGCCAGAATAACCTGCAGGCTGAGGTCCAGAGGGCTGAAGTCTGTACAGGGAAGTGCAGGGCAACTGAGTGACACCTGCAAGGCCTGGGTGTGGCTATAGGGGAGGACAGAGGCCTTGATTAGAGGTACTGGAGTCACAAGTTGTGGCTGCCGAGTTCAAATCATGCCCACCGGGCATGAATAATTCCAACTGGGGCACCAGCTGCCTGCAGAAAACAGGGAAGGTCCTGCTAGCAAACAGAGGGCACAGAGGTCAGAGATGGCGTGAGTCCACTAGGCACCAAGGAGATCACTCCAGGGCTCGGGGGCAGCCTCCCAATCAGCATAAAATGAACATCAAGGTGTAGCAGGTGAGATAAAGAGGGGGGTGATACTGAGCCTTGGAGTAGGGGCAGGACTAGGGTGCCCACGGAGGGCATCTCAGCAGCCCTTAGGGCCTGCCCTATCATACCCCCACCCCTGCAAGGGTTTTCCAGTGCAGGGAGCTCCCGGATCACGTTGAACCACAGGATCTTTTCCTCTGTAGTAATCTTACCAGTCACTTACCCCCACAACACACATCCCCTCTGAATTGGGCCATCTGCTTTTGCTGATTGCTTCTCTTCTTGCACCCTCAAAATATGCTTTCATACACAGCATGCAGGGTCCTGTTGGAACTGATCTACGTTGTTTGGAAGGGTTTTCATAAAAGGATTAGATCTTGAAATACAACTTTATTTATTTATTTCCCTTTTGGTTGGTTTTTTACATGTGCAGGCCTTAGACTGGATCCAAGAAACAGGCGAGTATTACCTCTCCACCCACAACTCCACAGGGGACTCAGCAGAAGAAACTCAGGAACTCCTAAAAGAATATGGGGAATTCAGAGTACCCGCCAAGGTAAACAGTGACAGCATCTAATGATGGGGTCTGCTTTAGTGAGCCAGTGTTTCTGGTTCCTTTTAAGCCTCCCCCTTTTCAGGGCTCAGATCTGTGCAATAGACATATTCTTTTGATTTGAGAATCTGCTGTTGACAGAATCTGCTTTTGACAGGAGGGAATTTTCTTTTGAGCACCGTGACATGGCACTTTTTTTAACCAGACATGAGCACAAAAAAGGGATCTTTATCTTGCAGTCTGTTTTGTTTGCCAGGGGTTGTTGCTCTGATTAAAAGGAGGACAAATAATTTGTATCGGGAATAATTTGCAGGAAGCTCGCCCCAACTCAATCCCCAAACAATTGAGTAAAAGAAAATAATGTTGGATAACAAATGAAGTACGAACACTGGATCATCTCTGAGGTCATCTTGGACTCCATAGCTGTTCCTTCTATGATAACAATTACAATTGTTTCTTTGATTGCAATCGCACTGACCCCTGATGATCATCCTGCTTGGTAGGAGTGGCCCGTTAATCCCACTGAAGTACTTCCGGTGAATGAATTTGTAAATGCCGGGGTGAGCGCCATCGAATACAGGATTCTGTTAGCAAGAATCTATTAATTTCTGTGGGGCAAAAATCTCGAACTCTTGGTTCCAAAATGAGACCTTATATTAGGCCAACTGAGAAACTGCACACAAAAAAAAATCTTTTTCTGCTGGGGGGTTATCTGTATTCAGGGCCATCTTATATACAAGTAAATATGAGAGTTATTTTTATAAGCAATGTCCATCAGAGCCAGGCCTTGACTCAAGCCCTGTATCTAGATATCTCCAACTCCTGGCAAGAGTTTCTGAGTTAGATTCTAGACTTAAATCAAGCTCTAAATGTAATGACTCTTTCCCCACGTATATAATGGATTGAATCAAAGCCCCAACTATAAAATGTTCCTGGACAACAGATACTGCTGACCCGGGCAGGATAAATGGGTAGAATCAAACTCTGGGAGGTTTGAAATCTAGCTGTGAATTTGACAGTTCAGTTCCCTTGCACTTTTAAATGGTATTATTAGAACTAGATCATTGATTTGCATCTCCAGGGCTAGGATCAAAGCCTGGCAGCTCTGCAAAGGACTAGAAATTTGGATTCAGATCCCATTTTCTCCTGGAGCAGAACTCGGCGTTTCAAGCCAGTCTCTCCTGCTGATACATCAGTGTGTCCATGACAAAATGTTCCAAACGCTTGCCTAAAAATGGATTCAGAACAAATCTGCTTGCTTTGCAGTGGGTGATTTTAAATCTCATTCACTGGCTGAGATCCTACCCATGACAAATAACAGGGTTTATACTTTATAGGTTCAAAAAACCTTATCATTTAAGAGGCAGGCAGGGGGGAGGTCTATCCAACCTGTAGCATACTTTTCTTACGTGTTTATGAGCTTGCATCGCCAGGCGATTTTCCACCCTGCAAGCTGAATTCCATTGACTGGCATTGAGCACTTGTAAAAAGGGCATTCCCTTCCTGCAGGATGGGTGGGAATTTAAAGCTTTTGGCTCTACGTAGGATGGAATAAAGTCTTTATTTTACTGGCGCGTGTAGGATTGTAACCTGCTTTGAGCTATTATGTGGATTCAAAGCAAAAAAATAATAACAATAAACCCGTCGTAACCAAGGACCCTGTTTTGGGCAGCAAACCAAGGAGAAAGTGAAGCTTCTCATCCAGCTGGCTGACAGTTTTGTAGAAAAAGGACATATACACGCCACTGAAATCAGGAAATGGGTCACCACGGTTGATAAACACTATCGAGACTTCTCTCTGAGGATGGGAAAGTACCGCTACTCATTGGAGAAAGCCCTTGGAATTAATACAGAGGTACTGTAAGTCAATGCCCTGTTATGATACTGTACCCAAAGCTCAAGTCCTGAGGGCTAAAGAATGATGTACAGTTAGTGCTGACAGATGTCATAGATTTATCAGAAGAGATTAGAATTTAAGTAATCCAGAAATAGCCCCGCCTGTAGTGAAAAATATCTCGCAAGAGGGCAGTGGATTAACAGGACAGAGTTTTCAAATAAATGTTTGCAGGAGTTATAAAGAGATCACGTGGATGCTGGGAAGGAGCTCCATCAAGTGAAGCAGTTTCATGTTAACCAGAGCATAAATCACAACTGCTGCTTGTGTCTTGAACTGAGACCAACATTTAACTGTAAAGTCCCACAAGACGAATTGCTCTCCATCCACATCTCTGGTCTCCAAAAGCCACGATGTCTGGCCAGACAGGCGTTTGCTCCTCCTGGTATTTCTTAACCAAAACGCAAGTGGAAAAGTGTGTGTGTGTTGAGAGGGGAACCTTTCAAAACACTTTTGGATATTCATTCGACATCACGAAGCAGCAGAGAAAGATGCCCACAGATCCTCCACAGTCACATGCTCAGGACGCTTTAATGGCCCTTTGCAGGAACCTGGCTTCATGCAACACTGCTAATTACTTTCTAGAACAGAGTACCAGTAGCAGGAGATTGTTGAATCTGGCAGGGTAAGGAATCTGTAACATACCTTTTACCTACACATCCTTTGGGATAGATACCCGCTGACTGATTTGGGACCAAATTCTGGTCCTTTAACTCAAAGGATTAAACACTTTGAAACCAACTGCTTTAATCTTGGGCCAAGACTGGGGTTCCCTTCTTCCCTCTTTACAGTCCCTCACTTGCAATGATTGGGACTGATTGTGCAGGAAGAAACTATACAGCTAAGTGGAGCAATGGGAAGAAAGGTTTAGATCTTTGTCTACCCATTTGTTCCTAGGTAGAAGTAATAGTAGAGGCCTTTTTTAATTAATAGACATGCAATACTTATACATTTCCACCAGGAGAAACATAAATAAAGAATGCTGTTGAATTCTCTCTTTCTTACTTTAATTTTTCTAATACTGTCTGAATTAATTGATATCTTTTTGTTTTGTCTTCTTTTTATTCCTTCTTATCAATTTACTCTAGTGAGTGTGCTGTCTTTTACACAGCACTGGGATTAGACTGAATTCAAAATATGGGTTGTTGCTGTTTGTAGGATAACAAGGACCTGGAACTGGACATCATTCCAGCTAGTCTTTCAGACCGGGAGGTGAAGCTGCGAGATGCTAATCATGAGGTTAATGAAGAAAAAAGGAAGTCAGCCCGAAAGAAAGAGTATGTGCCAAAAACAGACACACACTGCAACGATTACATGTGGGCATGAACGGTGCTATCAAGTCTGTGTCCATCCAGTTGTGTGGCCATTAGGATACGGGTGCATGTGTTTAGAAATTGTGGCCATGTGTCACAGAGCTTTTAAAAGATTTCATTTGAATTTCTTTACACTGAATCAGTTCTGGGATAGTGAAGGAATGGGTCAGACAGCTGAACTAGACCAGAGTGGTTATAATAGCTGAGAGATCGGTTATCATCTGTCTGTATTCAGAAGGTGCACGCATGGGTGAGGAGGGGTAAGAAAACTTAAAAATAATATGAATATGTGCGGTTATACCGTGATTCCAATGTAATTCTTTATATTCAGGTGGGAAGAAAACTTGATCCTACAGAGGTAAAGAGTTTGACCATTGATTTCAAGAGGCCAGTATTTCACGCTTCGTTTAGGTTCAAGTTTAGATAGATTTAAGACCATCAGAACTAAGAGGTTTTACAAGTTGGGAGACACTCTGTTATACCTAAAATATGGGAAAGCTTTAATTTGACAGTGCACATTTATTGTAACTTGTAAATGTTAATATATTGTGGGTTGAATCATTTGCACAGGGGAATACTCTTCATACCTCTGAAATGGTAACTACACTGGATGGTCTTTATGAGAAACTGTTTGTAAGTTAGGGGACGCTGGCACATTATATGTGTTGGTGCTTTATTAAATGTCAGGCCAAATTTTGAAAATCTGGCATGTTTAACCTTTTCCCTGAGACACCAAGGCGGTCTGCTTCTTTTAGAGGAACCAGGTGTTGAAAACCCTTCTTGCCTTTATCTGGAGCTGTGCTTCCTGGATACCCAATGGCTTGGATACCTAATGGTTAAGACACCTATAGATTTGTCTATATGTCTGCACCAAAAGGGGTCTGAGCAGGGATGCTCCAAACTGGAAGCATCAGGGGGCGGCTGTTCTAGATGTGTCCCTGTCTGCCCTTGGGCTCTTGCAGAATTGTGTCTCTCTTATATTGAGCAATACCTCAGTCCATCAGCAGTCACACTGAAATCAAAGTGCTACTCAGATTTAGTACGAGTCATTCAAGGATGTCCAACATTATGGACACTTGAAAATATAGGTGTTGTGGGCCAGTCTTGAAGCCTTTACCTATGGAGTACGTTCATGAAATTGCTGAGACTCACCTGGCAAAGAACAAACGCATAGGAATTAAAGCACCCTGGTATTAGAGAAATATATTATAGTGGGATTTTATTCAAATGTGGAGAACTGAAATACCGGTAACATTGCCCACAGACGGCTAGAAAAAGAAGTGATATTTTATTCATAGAATTGAAGGTGTAATCTGGGTTGGTTGAAAGGTTAGACTGGAAGTGCCTTGATTTATGACAACAACAGAAGAATACTTTTCTTATTATAAAAACCACAGAGGTGCATAATGTACAAACTGACTGAAATACTTTCCATCTACCAGATTCATTATGGCTGAACTGCTTCAGACAGAAAAAGCTTATGTCAGGGACTTACATGAATGCTTAGAGGTAAGTTATTTGCTCGGTAAGATTATAGTAGGTTCAGTAAAGATGTGGCATCTTGTCTTATATTTGTACTGTCAAGGTTGCACTACAAAACCCTGGTATCGGGCACTGGAAGATCCCTGGAAGAATGCTACAGTAGGTAGGAGTTAACTTAAATTTAGTTTTTCTTCCTCCTTTTGTGTGTCTGCACAGGCAGATAAGGAGGCAGAGCTAGAGGAACCAGGCCTATCAGATTCCTCTGGTGGGAGTTGGGGAAGCAATAGAATAGGCTATTTTTTAATTGGGGAAAAAAGATAAAAAAGCAAATACTTCTATGAAACAATCTTTGTGTAAATGTCCACAAGGTCTTATGAAATCTTCTCTGTTTAAAAAACGCTTCCTTCATCCTTTCAAAGAGCAGAAACAATTCCATGTAAATTAGGTGGCCACATCCATAATTGTCACTAAATAATTTCTACACATTGCCTGATGGCGATGTAGCAACATGCTGTGTCGCCATACGGTGTGCTATAGTGAAGTAGTGCTCACGTGCATCTCCACGTGATCACCAGCGACGTTGCCGTAGCAGTGCACTCCCCAGGTGGAGCTTGCTGCAACAACGACGTAGCGGCACAATTTCACCATGCGCCGCGTGCACGGCGTAGTAACTGCCCATGCTGTGCCATGCTTTACTACTTCCCAAAGGAAGTACTCCAGCACGGTGATGTGTAGCCGCATCCTGTGAATGCTAAATATGTCATTAATTACTTGGTAACGTTAACTAGAAAAGAATGAATGAGTTAATCCATTTGCTAAAATGTGTTTGTTTAAACTTGGCTCGAATCATCTGTATCCTGGATTCTGATAAAAAATTAGAATCTGTTCCTGGATAATTTGTGCGCAGAAGAAAGGCTGGATTGCTCCTGTCGATTCGTTGCTGTAACTAGTACATCCAGCTTTTCAAGGTTTTATCTGAGTCTGTCTTTGATACTGAGGATATTAAACCTCAAGGAGAGAAGAGAGATGCTAGCTTTCAAGGACCTGTACCTAGAAAAGGGATTGGATGCATGTGTGGAGAAAGCCATTGCTACTGAAACTTCACACTCGTCTTGCCTTTCAATTATTTCTGCCTGTAGTATTGTGTGGGCTTCATCAGGGAGCTCTTGGTGAGACGGGAAGATCTGGTTCTGTTGGCACGATTTTGCTCCCCTTCCTGACATCTTCCAAGTGTCGGCCCCTTGAAGTCCTCAAGAGATTTGTCATGGAGTGTTTCCAATCTATTGCCTTTCAGTTTGTTGGTTTCTGCTTCTTCGTGACGTAATTTGTTGCCTTCTAGACCTACCTTTGGGAGATGACCAGTGGAGTAGAGGAGATACCCCCTGGGATACTTAATAAAGAACATATCATCTTTGGCAACATTCAGGAGATCTATGACTTTCATAACAAGTAAGTTTTCCTAACATTTTCACGAATATTTCCTGGTTTAAAAAAAAAAAAAAACTATTCTGGGGGCTCCGGGGTGAGGGGGGGAGGCGGGCAGCACTTTAATTAGAGTGGATCTTGGAAGCCGCTCTAACTGAAGCGCGCGCAGTGTCTCATACATTCAATGTCCTGTGCTTCAAAATGGTGGCGGGGGCACTTTAATGCTCACTCGACGAGCTCTAGTTAAAGTGCACCTACTACCATTTTGAAGCACAGGAATGCTGAATACCCGTGATGCCAAGGCTGCTGGAGCATGCTAATTAGCATGCTCCAGCAGGCTGGATTAATTAAGTTTATTCCGACACATACTAAGTAGCACGCGTCGGAGCAGTGTCGGGCCAGTGTATAGGTGCACTGGATGTCTATACAGGGTCTGCTAAGAACAGGTACATAAGTATTTACAGAAGTGCACGATATAAACTTGGGACATATTGACCGCTTCCTCGTTTGCTTCTTTTTTTCTAATCACATCTTTATTTGAACTTTGCCTATAGCTGATTAAAAACCTAAAGCCGGACTAATAATAAAAAAACATGATCGTGTTGCTTTGAAGTGCAGTAAGCTCTTTTCATTCAAGTATCTCAGAGCAGTGTAGAAACATTAATGAACTGAGCTTCACATATCTGTTATATCCATATCAGTCTAGCCATTTGGGAAAGTTTGACACAAAATGATTAAATGAAATTCCCCCCATTTTATAGACTGCCTTCTCATCGACTGTATATCGCAATACCTATATGTTAAATAATAAGCTTCACCCTGTTTACGCACTGTTAGACCAGCCTTTTGATTCTATCCTAGCCATACAAAATGGATGTAAATCAAGAGAACATCTCTGACTGGAAAAAACACAATAAAAATTAAGGTTACCTCTGGAAGCAAAATAATCATGATTAACATTTGATTGAGAATAATTTATTACGTAATGCCAGTGTACTCTTAGGCCACCTGTAACATAGTGAAAGGCTTCTGGATTTGATCTGAATTTATGTAGGTTGGGAAAGACTTCTTATACATCCTGGTGCAGGCAGCTGGACCCGATGATCTTGCGAGGTCCCTTCCAGCCCCTTCCAATCTCTGAATCTTCTTACCTCTTGCTGAGCCACACAGCAGGCATTTCAGAAGGAGCTGTTGGACTCAAATAGCGATGCGTCTCTTGCAGTAACACACATTTTCAATTCCAAGACATGAGGCATGTTTAATTAGCTTTATAATTAAGCTGCTGTTAACAGTAATCTTCACCTGGGTCACTCCACTTGCCAGGGGTGTTCAGCCATGCAGAGTTACTAACTAGAGCTGTCTCTCTCTCACTTTTTCAGCATTTTCCTGAAAGAACTAGAGAAATATGAACAACTGCCTGAAGACGTGGGCCACTGCTTCGTCACCTGGGTAATGAGGCTTCCCATTTCATCATTTATTAAAATGATCTTGCCTGACCTGTACAGGAAATGAGCTTTTTGAGGGCTGACTATAGGACACATGGGGCTATAGTGTGGCCTGGACAAGTGAGTGAGTAGGTGGCCCCTTACACCTCGATGCTGCCACCTTGGCTCGGCCTCTGGAACGGAGGGGTAGAAATGACCTGTCCATCTCTCTCTTGTTGGCTCCACTTCAGTCACATTCAAAGAATTTAACTGGTGTGCGTTTGATGCAAGCTGTCTGAAAGGGGCTTAATTTCACTTGATATAAACCTTTTTCTTCAACGCTAACTGTCACGTTGCTAATTGGCTGAATTCTCTTCCTAATTCCATTGTCAAGTACCAGCTCTTGTAAGGCTTGTATTTTGACGTGTAGGAGTGGTCCAGTCTGGATGCTATATAGCCAGTGTCCATGTTGTTTGCAAGGGTGTATGCATACACAAGAGATCCTGTGGTTTAATAACACTCGGTTGACTTTTGATAAGTTCTGAATTTTGAAAATGATCTTCCCCCCTCCCCCCACCCCAAAAAAAATATTTTCCAAGAAGTCATCATATCTGACATTTTGTTAACATTTCTGTGAGATTTGATTTTTCTTAATAGCATTAGTAGAAATTTTAATTGAGGCTGGGGAACATTGCCATTTACCAAAAACCCAAATGATTTACTAATGATTTTAAGCAGGATTGTAATTAGGAAAAAAAATCCCATGGAAAAAATTGTAAAAAAAATGTTTTTTAAAGATGAGTGATATAAACGTGAACTTATTTCTGGAAGTTTTATCCATTTTTAACCATTGCTGACCATTCTTTTTCTTAGCGTATATGAGAGAGAGAGTGTGTTTATAGAAGTGGCCTGGATAAAGTGAAAAACATATATAAGCTTTGTTCTAAGTCTTTGCTGTTGTTTCAATACTTGCAAAAGTAGCCAAATTTAGCACTTAGGAGCCAAGAATAGACTTTTATGTACTTAAGCACAAGCTGAGCACCCAGATGAAGAACTGGATTGCAAGACTTAGCCTTCCACTCTCTACAAGGGAGCCCCCCGGCTCTTCCAGTTCTGAAGCCCTGTAGATGAAGTTCAGTAAGATGGCACAGCATTGCACAAATGCCTTTAATTTACCCTTTAAAAAAATCAATTGGGAAACAAAATGCAAAAGACCCAGTACAACCACCATTCGATTTTGGAGAAAATGAGGGAAGGCAAACGTTCGAGCACGCCTCCGAAATGTCAGCCAGCTTGAAGTCAGCGAACCGGCAGCAATTTGAACCAGCTGAGTATTTTCACAGTGACTTGAACTCAGGCTCTGCCTAGGTAATTCCACTAGAAGAACGTTTAGAGGCATCCTGACTCCAGTAAACTGTTCTTCGCTATCGACTCCTGGATTTGCTTTACAATTCTGAATTTTTGGATGTTCACTGTGAAACTTTAATGCATCCCATAGAAATGAATTTACAGCTAGTTTAAGCATTGGCCTCCCACCTCATGCCACTTGTAGAGTAGTAAAAGAAAACTATCCCCTTGCAAGGTTTGACACACTCAAGCTGTTACAATAGGAGCTGTATATTGCCTTTAATTGTTCTTTATAATCTCAATTCTCTTGTTGCTGTTAAAGGGACAGGTTTATTGCTTATATTTATTCTTCTAAGCTTTAATGGGAGACTGTAGAAGCAGAGCGGTAGCTTATCTTGCTTTTCCCCTGATGTTTGTTTCCACAGGCAGATAAATTTCAGATGTATGTCACCTACTGCAAAAACAAACCTGATTCTAGCCAGCTCATCCTGGAACATGCCGGGACTTTCTTTGATGTAAGTAGCCCTTGCATTTTCAGCATCCACACTGCTGCTTCTGGAAAAGAGAGTTTGTAGATCGTAGTCCTTTCAGTGTATTTCATTCCATTGCTGGTGTGTCCTACTGAAGGAAGAAAAACAGGTATGTACATAGTGTGTTACGGTCTTCGTCACCCAGGGAAAATCATTGAGTGATTGCTGGGACTAATGATCCTTATGAGAACCTTCAAACCAAAGGTCCTGTGCTGTCAAACCAACAATTAAGGTCTTTGTGCTTCTTATATCTTCTTTGCTTCTGTTTCCAGCACCAAAATAAAACAAAAGAGGCTGATCTCATATTGATGCCTCCTATTGATGCTCCAAACTCCAGTAACAGGGCCTGGTCTTATTGACTATTGAAGGCAACTATCCCATCCTGCAACACTGTCCTCTTCTCCTGATGCCACTGGCGACTACTCACAGTAGCAACTCCTAAACCTAGTGATAAATGCTTGTAGGACCCAGTGTTGCAGATGGAGGAAACTCAAAACTTCCAGAATTGTTGTATGCTGTATCCAAGACGCATTGAACATTTTGAGCCTGGTCATTCTCATATCCACATCAACACTATGACTTTAGTCCTTTAGAAAGCAAGGTGGTTTTCCTTCTTAACACTGTAAGTACTTCTCCTTTCCCAAACACTGAACACCTCCAGTTACAGATAAACTCACCCAGTAGGGTTCCTACTGAGATACAGCTGATAGCACGATTATTATTACATGAATGTGTCTATGTGTACTTGCTATAGGCCACTGATTAAATTGTTTCAGTTAAACTCTATTTAAAGCCTTTAAGTTAACCAGAAAAAAATCAAAACATGTTTGTATTTTTACTATAGTTTGTTCTGGACCACATAATGCTCTTTGTGGACTAAACAAATCCTCTTTCTAAAATTACGTTTGCTGATTAAAGGCAGGCAAGGTTCTTTGGGTAGATGTGATATCTTTTATTAGACCAACTAAGTGGTAGGAAGAAAGTTCTTTGCAATCTTTTGGGCACAAGTACCTGAAAGCTTGCAAAGAATTTCTTCCGGCTATTTAGTTGATCTGATAAAAAATATCACATCTACCCAAAGGACCTTGCCTTAGACCAACACGGCTACAACCAAAAACCTTTGCTGGTTAAATAGTTTTGCCAGCAGGTGGCACTTGAGTCTATTTAATCATTTAGAAGTGGCTTCTTTGGGACATGGGCTATTTCAAAAGATTTACATGTTTATCACTGAGTTCACACAGATTAAAAAGTATTTGCTTTGCTAAGCTTTTCCATCCCAGCTGTGTACGCTGGCTGGAAATCTTTAGCTATTTCTTAATAGCAAATGTTAAAGTTTCAGCATATTCATGTTTTGCAAGGGGAGATGTTATTTATTCTAATGAGATAAAGATTTTGCTACTCTGAAAAACAATGCAGAGTGCAAAAGGGGGAACGTGACTTTCCGAAAGAAGTTGAAGGAGAAAGGTCTCCCTCACCCTGCACTTTGTGCAGACGTTTCTACCAGTGAAAAGCAGTTTAAAGCATTTTATTTCAGTAGTATTGCCTTGTGCATGTGGGAAGGTAGAGAACAAAGCTTTTGGTATACGGTAACATGAAGAAGCTATTTTGGCACTCTTTGTCCACCTAACAAAGTTTGGTCAAGTTCAGAATATCATGCTGAAAAAATAACATTGTCATAACAGCCTTCCGCTTGCGTCGGACTTGAGAGGCACCTTAAACTGCTGCATAAAATTGACTGCCATAGGAATTTCTCCTTCTACTTCAGATCACCCCTTGTACAAAAGCTGCGCTTGTTAAAAGAGTATAACTGAATATCCATTGAAGTCACTGGAAGCCTTATCATTCTAGGGATCCTTCCCAGAATTGGATCCTTGTATGGGTCTGAAGAAACGGATCACCTTGACACATGCAGCGAGGCTGTTTCGATGTGCTGCAATCACAGTGCGTTGGAACACACTCAGTTAATGAAGTCTGCTGGAGTGTGGTAATTACTGCACTCCAGCAGACTCCAGTGTCATGTGTATCAGCACCGCCATGCTGAAAAATGAATGAGCTTTAGTTAAAACACCCCTGCCACCATTTTTCAGTGTGGGGACACTGATACATGTGACACTCTAGACAGTTTAATTAGACCAGCTCTTGGAGCCACTCTAATTAAAGTGCTCCTTCCCCCCCATAGATTCATAGATTGTAACAGGCCGGAAGGGACCTCAGCAGATCATCAGGTCCAGCCCCCTGCACCAAGCAGGAAAGATAACTGGAGGTCACGGGACCCCAGCAAGCTGACTTTCTAGTCTCCTCTTGAAGATTTCCAGGGTAGGTGATTGCACCACTCTGGAGGGAGCTTATTCCACTGTCTGGACACCCTGACTGTGAAAAAGTTTTTCCTAATGTTGAGCCTAAATCAATCTTCCAGGAGTTTTTGGCTGTTACTCCTGGTTTTCCCTGCGGATGCCCTGGTGAACAGTTGCTCACTGAGCCCTTGATGTACTCCTGTAGTGTAGCGGTGAGTTGCTACCAGGTCCCCTCTCAGCCCTCTTTTCCTCAGGCTGAAGAGTCCCAGGTCCCTCAGGCTTTCCTCGTATGGCTTGCCTTTTAAGACTCTGATCATATGTGTGGCCCTTCTCTGGACTCTCTCAAGCTTGTCCACGTCCTTGTTAAAGTGCGGTGCCCAGAACTGGACGCAGTCCTCCAGCTGCGGTCTCACCAGTGCTGAGCAGAGCGGAAGAATCACCTCCTTGGCTTTGCTGGAGATGCATCGATTGATGCGTGCCAGAGTATTATTTGCCCTACTGGGTACAGCATCGCACTGCTGGCTCATATTCATACCGTGGTTTATTATTACCCCCATTCCCTTTCATTCATGGCGCTGGTCAGTTTGGTGCTGCCAAGCCTGTAGGTGTGTTGGGGGTTGATTGTCCCGAGGTGCAGCACTTCGCATTTCTTGACATTGAACTGCATCAGATCCTGATCAACCCAACTTGCTAGCCTCCCGGAGCATGTATATAAATGCCCCATATTGACTTAGCTATTTAGATCACAAAGCAGGAGAGAATGGCATCTCAACTCTGAAATGGCACGAAGACTAGAGGCAGAGAATATAGTCACCCCACCTGGAATATGATGTGGACACTAAAACCAGCACCTTATTCTTTTAAAATTAGAAGCGAATCCACAGCACTCACAGCTTATTTGGTTCATCCTACTCTTCCCTCCCTTATACTTTGTGTCTTAAACTCCTTTCTCTTATATTTATTACAGTAATCCATTCCCCAGTACTAAAACTGTGTGTGGTGTCTCCATCCAGTGCCTTTAAAAAGCACTGATTTGACTTGACAGATTTGTATGATGCAACTCCAAATCTATTGCAATTCATAGCATAGCTGTTTCTGGCTATTAATACGAATTGTCTCAGATATTCAACTGGTAGAGATCTGCACAGCATAGAAGCCAGTGGAGTTACACCAGTTTCCACCAACTGAGACTGGTTCATTACCAACAGCCCTGATTTGCTCTTGCATCCACTTCATAGCTTGTATTCTTGACTCTGAAGTAATTTAAGTGGTAAATTGGAGTGATGCTTTCATGTTTAAGCTACTGTAAGCACGTTTCCCTTCCGAAAGTATTGAAGTACGGCAGGTATAACATTGGCTGGCACATGGTCAGGCTGAGTGATCCACAGGAGACAGAAAACATATGAATCAGGGAGGATCTAACTCGCGTAGCTGCCTACATTCTTCCCTCTTGCAATTTTTCTTCTCAAAATCATAGAAAAAGATCAGCCTATTAGTTGAGAGCACCCCCTAGGCGCCTTAGACTTGCATGACCAGCATTCACCTTGCACAACGCGATAAAGCTCACTAACTTTGGCAGTGTTACAGGGAATCGTGTTTCCGCACGGATGGAGCATTCAGGAAAAATTCCTCCAGTGAAGTCGATGTGAGATGTTGCTCCTCAGGAGGGAGGTGAGCAAGCAGGGTCGGTGTCTCCCCTTTGTTAATTCTTCAAGAAATAACAGTGCTGGGCATTTTAGAGAATGCTTTGAAGAATACAGATGCCTCACAAATATTTGGTGATTGGAAAATCTCCCTCTGCAGATGGAACTGGACTCCATGACGCCCCACACACAGCACTGCACAGCAGGAGTCCAGTTCAAGATGCAAGTCCATGCTCCTGTCCTGCTGTCGATGGTGGTTTAGTAGCTGCTAAGGCCCTGTCCTCACTACCGATGGCCGTTGCACGCTGGCTAAAGGCTTGGATGCCTCACCTCACCATTTGTGCACCTTTTCTGACATCGCAGCAATGTTTGCCTGTTCACATCTGCCATGCCATCTATCTGCATTTGTTTCAGTGCATCCATGACATGGGGTGACATTGTGTTTTGGACCTTTTAGAGGTATAGTAGACTGTCCAGCCCAGGGGAAGTGGAGATAAAAATGGTTTTCTGTCACCATGCTTCCTCCTGTCCCTGGGCTGCTCTCTGGCCCCTGCTTTAACATAAGGTGAGTCCAACCATTGGCAGCACATAGGGGATGCACGCGAGTGCATGTGCACCCCCTGAGATAGGCAGTGCACCCCCTGCAATTGGGCGCCGCCTATACAGCTGGTGGCACCTGCGGGAAGTCACTGCTTGCCAGCCCCTTCTCATCGCTAACACTATCAGCAGCATTTGCAGGCGGTCGCTGATCCCTGCCATCCACTGCTGACACCGCCAGGGCCACCTGCAGGAGCTCCCTGCTCACCACTGCCATGCCACCGCCGCTGCGGTCACCATGCTCTCCTAGCCTCCAGGGGCATGCACCATTCATGAGTCCAACTAAAGCAACCAACCATCCCACATTTTCCAGGAGAATCCCAAATTTCAGGGCAGTGTCCTGACATCCCCCGAAGAATCCCTGAGACAAGACTTCTATCCTGAACTTAGGAAGGTCTGTGTTACATCAGGACCCTGCCGGGCACTGCAGGAATGCCCCAGGAATGCGACT